GAGAGAGAGAGAGAGAGAGAGAGAGAGAGAGAGAGAGAGAGAGACCAAAAGGAAATGAAGATGTGGAGAAGCGACTGAACTCGGCCAAAGAGAGGAATATCAATTAAAAGATGAAGGAAAAAGTAATCAAAAAGTGAGGATAGAAGAGAAAACCAACAAAACATTAAAAAAATATATCAGAAAAAATACGATTAAGATAATGTAACATATCGTCACAATATAATACAGAAGACACCCTTTAATATATTAAAACAAAAATATACACCATTTAAAATCATGTTATAGGAAACTTGGGATTTTAGGTCTCCATCTGAAAAAATACTTCAATCAATACAAGTATGTTCAAACAGAACTTCCCACTGTTTAAGTCTTGGTTCATTTTGAGTTTATTATTGGCAACTTCTTTATTGATTGCTGGATACATGCAAACTGCAACGGAGATAACGAAGTGGAACAAAAATTCTGAAACGGGAAATGTACAAATTTAATTCTAGAACGGGCACCAAAGATTGCCAGAAAGAAATGTCTTGGGAATAACTCCGGGCATCCTTGGGCTCAGTCTAAACCAGGGGTTCCCACCGGTTCAGAATCAACCTCCTGGAAGTGAGTGGACTTTTGACGGGGATTGATGGTGATCAAGGGATGATTAATAGGTATTAATAGCTCCACACAGCGTAAAAACGTATAACAATAAATTGCAAATTCGCTCCTCTTCTTTCCAATCTGTTCATTCATAGGATCAAAAGCCTAGCTAGGCTGTTCCAACCGGTGCATATTTCCGGTCCCCCGCAGTAAGGGGTTCTTAACCCCTGAGCCCTCGGTCCCCGATGATTATTGGCAAAGAATAAAACAAATTGCATCCCATTCTGATTTTTCTCATTGCAGCAGAATTTTATTATATCAATTAGATTTAAAACTAATTTTGCGTTTATTGCAGATACTAGCCCCATTTCGAGTTTCTGAAACGAGGCATTTGAGAACTCATGTACGCAACTGCTTAGGATGTTTAAAAATGTAACATATTATAACTAAGCAACGACATTCTAGCGTGGAAGAATATTATTTCTGCAATAAACACTGGAGAAATCATATGAACAGTTAAAAAACGTTCTCAATTTGTAACCATTGCACCACAAAGCAGATTAGAAAAGTCAACTACTGAGAAGCAGAAGCGTCATAAATTATTGGAAATATACGTATTTACCAAAATATTGGTGTACGAATTTGTTCTCTTTAAAACATGTTCGTGCTATTGTGTTATGATTATGAATGATGCAGAAGAGATCAGTGTTATTCAAACTGTGAGCCGCGCCTCCCAGGGAGGTGGCCGTTTCAAAAGGGGGGTGCGAGAACTTCAGATTTTCAGCCCTGGCGTTGATCTATATTATCAAAAAAATATTCAAAGAATTATACAAAATTATCAAAAAAATATAGATTAATGATAAATATTCAGAATGAGAGAAATAATGCCTTTTCTAAATTAGTGGAGAGATTTGATGAACTGTGTGACATCAAACAAGCCCATTCATTTCATTTGCTCTTCTGAACTGTCAATTTGTTTGTTTTTATAATTTTCCTTAAAAGTGTTCCTCATTCAGTCAAACATTAGTTACATTCAGTAATTACAACAGCGAATAGTGTAAATCACTTGCAATAATTATTATGTACCCTGTAAGTATATAATAAAAAAGCCTTCATGGTGGCCGTAGGTTCAGCAAAAAATATTTAGTTGTTATTAACGTTTTAAGTACAATGAGGGGAGGCGTATGCAGAATATGATACCTGAATTTGAACCTGATACCCGAACAATATACAAATCTTTAAACGTTTTATTATTTTCAACACTTTGACAATACTCATCCAGTTTTTCATTTCACGAGGGAACATTAAACGGAGCAAACTGTACATAATCTTGTTATTAATGTTCGGCCGATCGGGAAAAGAACGGACGCTGTTAAAGTATAAAAACTCAAACGGTAGCCAAGATTTATAACCAAGTAAATGTCGAAAACGTTCTTGGCAGTGACTACTCGAATTAGTACTTCCCTTTAAGGCGAATACTACACAGCTTCAAGTTGTTCTCACTACGTGATCTCCATTTATTTTCATCGGCTTAGTTGATTCACGGCAACAACTGTTACCTCAGCAGCTACACTGTGCATAAGATCATACGTGGTTGAGTTTTCAACACAAATTAAATAGCTAGATCGGATTTAACCGCAGTCTAGTGGAGAGTTATAGCGACTCGCTTGGGCTAATGCGTAGTTTTCGCGTTTTTTCCAATCAATACCAGGGCAATGCTGGATCAGTTGTCTGAGAAACGGGCCACGGACGACGCGATCTTTCCTTCCTCATCCTTGTTCCCATCTCTCAACTTTCACACACACAAACACACCACACTCTTACTCTTTCATGAACTACTTGATCAATCAAATCGGAAGATCAGTTTGGACCCAACGTGGGCGGTGCCCCTCTGGAGGGAGATTTGTGGAAGGGGAACACCGCAAGGCAACGTAGGTTGCGGCGAATCTCTGGTTGTCATCTGGTGTCTGGTTCCAGCGGGGGAAGAACACCGCCATCTCCTGGGATATAAGAAGCAGCAACACGTACGGTACTATTCACCTTAACAGTCGATGAGCTCGAAAATAGTCACCCAGCAATTAATGTATTTAGCTTCTATTTTCACAATCAATAATGCAAGTCCTCTTTTACAGCTCTACATGTATTCTATCATTTTCATTCTGGGAATTCCTTACTTTCATCTTTCGGCAAATTAGTATATTATTAATCCTTTTCGCTATTTTCCCCATTCGTTTGGAGTAAGGAACATGGCTGTACCAAGTGGTTATTATTACACATGGTTACTTATTTGGTCACTGTGTTCTGTCAGCGAGTATTCCACTCTCGTTTTTTCCTTAATGTCCTCATTTCCCACTCTGTCCATTACATTTGTTTGGCGACATATCTTCCAGAATACATTTCTACTACGAGTACATTTATTTTGATTTCGAGTCCAGGATTTATTACCCATTTTCCGGAACTGTAAAAGTAACTACACTTATCTCAAATGTCTCAAAAATTCTTCTCTTGGTATGATCCGAATAATTATTCCAAAGCACAGAGGGTACCGCGTATACTTTATGTACTTTATGATTATCTTTAATCCAATATCCTCCACGGTTTCATTGATGAAGTAAAACCCATAGATTATATATGTAGCAGTAGATATTTGCATTGTGTTTCAGTAGAATTAATTAGGCACTTATCTATGTGTACATTTTTTGTGTTTGCCCAGACTTTCCTGTAAGTGCAGTTCATTTCACGAAAATTCTAAAGCAACAAATTTGAACATTATTAAAAGTGCTTTCCAAAATTTCAATACGATGTTTCTTTTCGAAACTTTTCCATATAATCTTGAGAATAATCGGTAAAAAATGTAGGACGGCTTAGATAAATATTTAATAAACGTGTGCATCTGCCGTTGTATTCCTTTATCTCAAATATACAATGCTTACTTATGCACAACAATACCTACGACTATTTTTAAAACACCCAGACAAAACCGTTCAAAAAAAACTCTTCAAAAATTAAATACAAATCGGCTAATTTCTCTCTCGTTATTTTCACTTTCTACCCAAACTACGCAGTGATGAGAAAGTATTATAATGGTGCGGCAAAAATGATGATTGTTCGTCAAAAAAATTTGTATTGTGAGGCACAGATATAGAAAGATTCGGTACATGTTGTGCATATTTGCAGTGCATTACTTCCTTTAACACTTTGTGTAGTCATAATCCACATTTTGTCCACACCTTGATACCGAAAAATTGGTTGACGGCAACAAATCTGTCTGTAGCTAACGCTAGCGCCTAAGCCGTTCAGAAAACTGATTTTTCTCTATTGATCTTGCCGAACTCGAAGCTTTGAGAGCCTGAAACGAGTATTTTAGTTTGGAGATACTTCACTTTTGCAATTTTTTCAAAATTCCGTCTAAGTTTTTGATTAAGCATCTTCCTGGGATAGAGCAAAGTACGCTTAAAAACGGTGCAGATCTCATTTTCGTTGAACTCCGAATTTTCCGTAAGTTACAAATAATACGACAAAGTATGTGATGTAGCACTACTAATTCATTATATTTTTCTTCCACTTAGTAATTATGAAAATGCTTCAATTTGAACTGCAGGGGCAAAATCGCTCCATAGGAATTTTCCTGCGCTAATCGTACCGGAGGAATTCTTAATTCGCGTACCTCGCATGTTCCACAGATGAGTAATGTAGTTCCCACGCGGTGACGGTATGTGAGGGAGGAACTTTCCCTGAGCTTTTAAATGTCTTCGAAGTGGAATCAGAGTAGTTACAAATTACATACCACGCACAAATGTTCATCGAGGAGGAACCAATAATTATTATATCAAAGTATAAACTAGGGGTGCTTCAAAATAGCTTACAATTTTTCGCGCGCTAGTCTGGGCTAGTTTATGGGTATTGTCCCACATTATCTCCAGCTGCTACCTAACGGTGTCTAAAATACTTTTTTTCTTCACATTTTCTCAATTTTTCTTCTTCTAATAGTAGCATTGAAATATGACTGAAAATATTATAGAAAGCAAAACATGCTCCTACGTTATTTTCATCGAAACATTAGGAGCCGTTTGAGAAAATTTCATTTAACAGTTGATGAAAAAGCGCAATTTTGTGTTCATTTTCACAGAAAAGTTTCACGTTTTCGAGAAATTTAATCAGAGAAAGAGAAACAGACATTGAAAGTCATTGGTCTTACAACTTCACTCAAGTGTAAACCACGCCTGAAATGCAAATATTAAAGATAAAGATAAGATAAATTTATTTGAACTGCAAATGGGCAAAATTCGGAGGCAGTTAATTACTTAAATAAGATAATACAGCTAACATGCAAATTATATAATAACAATTTGTGTAATTTTTTGAAAAATCAATACAAAATATAATGGTGTTTATGCCTAGTAAATCATTCCGCTTAGAAACATCCGCACCAAAAGTTTAAAGAAAAAGTTTGGAACCTGTTTTAAAAATGTCCTTTGAGCATTTTCGAAAACGGGTAATTTTCTCAAACACTTTTAAGTTTTTAGTGAATTTTTTTCCCCGCGTGCTTCAGCAGCTCCAAGTGAAGTTGGGAGTGGTTGCTTGAAATGAGACTTCATCTTTATGATTATTAGTAAAGTGTGCACTTTCTATATTATATATCTTAGTTTGTAATTTTTTGATGCGTGTAATGTTAATTAATTAATGAATGGATCAATTTATTGTGTTGTTGTAATGCAATGTTGTTTATTGTTTATGCTCTAGCCCTGAGGAAGAAATTAAATATTTTGATACATTGGCGCAACTAATTGTTTCTCTAAACACAACGACCAATCCCGTGAAACAATTTTATTTATTTATTTATTATTAATAATAATAATAATAATAATAATAATAATAATGCCTTTATTAATGGCGAGGCTCAGGCCATAGGGCCTGCTCTTCCACCTAACCACTGAATTTACATATATACTTAGAGTAGTAACATTTTAAGAGGGGAGGACAAGCTATACATTTACGTCTGGACGAATAAATCTAGGGACCGCATTAATAATTTATTATTAATGCGACATACGCACTAATAATTTATTATTATAATTAGAAATTTGAATGCATAAGTTACATAACTAATTGCTAAAAACCGCAATGCTGGATGTCCAGCAGAGGTGCTTTTTAATATTTATTCTCAGTTTCGGTATATTTTTCTCTTCTTTTTTGAAAAACGCCGTCCGTATCATTCAGTTAAAGTGTACACTATACAATGAATATTGACCGCTACTTAGGCCGGATTTTACGTTTGAGTTCTGCGGGTTAATCGAACTTCTGCTATACTTCGATTTATTTAGAACTGCATTTGACAGGTCGTCAGGTCTTACGGTGTTATCCAATCGGGAGCTTGCACGTCACTACAGTGACGTTACTACGGTGACGTTCAACCTCCCGATTGGATGACAAGGTTTTACGTCAAGTGAAGTTATGTTTAAATCCAAGAACAACTAGGTGAGTCGATGGCGGCCAGGACCAGGTTGTATTCTTGAATTTTTTAATCGTTTCCAGCCAGATGCCGGAAGAGTACCTTACATAACGGGTTAGGGATCACATGTAATTATTCCTTCCCTATTGGGCCCATCCATCCCATTCTGTCAACCTAAAAGTTGAGAGTTAAACTGATCTATATTCTTACATGGACCATGTCCGACAAGCAGCGGAGATCAGAAAGGCAACACTAGCCTCAAGACTTCTTAGATTTGTACATCGTCACCAAGCAATGAAAAGTGATCCCTTGTTCCTAAATGTTACTGTAGAAACAAGAAAAAACCTTGTTTATAAATTGTATAAAATGATAGAAAGATCCTTCAGTTTTAACTTTGCCGGTTGCTAGCCTGCGCTGTTTAGAATCCAAAGTTATATCTTCGATTTATCTATAGTTTCCTTTGGCAGCTCTTAAGCTGTTTGAATGTCATCCAATCGGGAGTTTAAACGACACTACAGTGTTTGTCACCCCGATTGGCTGACACCGCAACAGCAAATTAACTGTCAAAGGACACTATAATTAAATCGAAGTGTACCCTTCGATCTCCCACAAAGCGGGGAATGCTCGAGCACGTGACCTCCGCGGCGGCGCTGTTTGGTCGAGGCGCCGCCAGGCGGCGTCGTGGCGCGGAGCGGAGGAGCGGGGCGGCGCTGCGGGGGCGGGCGCCAGAAGCCGGACGCCACGGCCCAAAGGCTGCAACTCGGCGTAATATGAGTGTTAGCGGATTTCTCCTACAGCCGAATCCAAGCCATTATCTGAAAACCGAGTGTGGTCGCTAAAATTGCTCGGTCCTAGCTATAACATGGGCCCAAAGCGCCGGCCGCCCACACGTAGTACAGTGCGCGGCGGTCACCTGCCAAAGAATTTCCCGCTTTATAGGAGATCGAAGGATACGACGTTGGTTTCCGGACACGTTATGCTCTCCACTGGGCCTGATTTCACTTTTGCATTTCGGACTAATGTGTTGCCGTAGAGAAAGAACCAGAAGGATTTGCTTCAAAATGATCAGATGACATTGTATGAATGTACCCTTGTCATAGTGAATATTCTAGGAGAATTTAAATCACATTTCATTACCGTTTCCTCACTAGATATTTACAGGACATGTAACAATCGGGGAGGAGCGGATGACGGGATTTTTCAAGGAGTAAAAGGAACGCGAGTTCTGTTCACAACACAACTAAAAATCGAAAAGTTTCGGGAAAAATTCAATAATAAGGAAATTCTTTAAATTGAAGATTTTTCAATAATTCGCATTATTTGAGAGCTATCAACAGCGGTTGTTTACTTGATTATTTGTTTTGAGAAAAAGCTTCATTTTGGAGAACATTATCAAAAAGCATGAGCACAATATAGATACGAAATTAGAAAATTCGTAGCATGCAACGAACCAATGTCAGCGTCGTCGTTGACCCAGCGGCGTTTCACCTCCCGTGCCTAGCGAGGGAAGGGGAGGGGGCTGAGCGGGGGTTTGAGGAGGCGCCAGACACGTCACTCAGCAGAGTGGCGTGTTGTCCCTGCCGCTCACGGGTTCGCTCCCTGCGGACGGTATATCTGACTTGCCCATCTACTGGGAAGCACCGGTGGGAGACGGGTGATGCTCGCCCCGATCGATTCCTGTGGCCGCCCACAATGGCCCGCTCTGCCACAGGAGGGCGAGGGCGAGGG